AAATGTGGTGCATTTTGTTGCTCTACTCACTCAGTCATTTTGAATGTGATGGCCACACAGTACACATGCTCACCCAGTGGCATTGACTGCCCCCACTGACTAGTACAGTGAAGTTGTCATTGTTCACGCATGTGCACTCCAGTCCACTCTCCTTAACTGCCGGGTTACATCGATGTTGCACAAAATGTTCTTATATTAACAATGGCTGGACTTTTTCTGGACAGATCTTGCTGAGGTATGACTTGTAAGCATGTACTTCAAAATCAAATTCTCCTTTATATTTCTGTTGTTGAGGGTGTCTACTTGGGGGGCTGGCTGACATCCCCTGGGGGTATGGTGAATACAAGGAGGTCGGGAGGAAGAAGACTGCTGTGCATCTCTGGAATGCTCAGTCACTGGAGCACCAATTGAGTGTTCTGGCCAACCAAAAGTAAAGTGTGGCAGAAGCCTTTCTTCATGCTTTGACCCTAACCAGTTCCTCCAAGGTGGTAAGAAAGGAGGCAACAGGGAAGCTAATATTTTGTTATATTCTTGCAGGTACTCTTATGGCTATGTAGTGTGAGATGACTTAAGGCCAATTTAGCAAGCACTTGTAAAAGTAATTACAAGATGAGAGAAAGAACAATTTTGCTACTACAGGCTGTGAAAATGAATTAATTCAACAAACATTCATTGAACAAGTGAATATATAGCAAGCACCATAAAGTATGAGTCTTGAGGGATACAAATGATAAAAATGCATTCTTTAAGAAATTTTATTGTTTATTCTATTACAGTTGTCCCAATTGTCCCCCTTTGCCCCACCCACCCATTCTACCTCTCTAGCCCACAGCCAGTCCCTTCTCCATGTCCATGTCCATGCGTCATTCACACATGTTGTTTCACTAGTCCCCTCTCCTTCCTTCCACCATTTCCCTCCCTCCTCTACTCCTATAGCTATCAGTCTGTTCCATGTTTCCATGTCTCTGGCTCCATTTTTCTCATTAGTTTAGATAAAAATATGCCCTCGCTTTGTGTTGGGCATTTGGAAGGTATGGGAAGAAGATAGGGTACAGTGGAGACAATGACCAAAATACCAATTTTGCTATATTACAAGGCCAGTGATATGGTAGAGAGCTAGTGAAAAGGATTATGGGAATGCAGAAGACATGCCATATGGAACTGATTAAAGTTTCAAAGATAAGATTAGTCTTGAGGTGATTTGAAGGATGAGCCTGGCCAATAAAAACAGTTGGGCATCCAGCTTCCAGGCAAGGGACACACCAGGTGTCCAGAGACCTGAACAGCTTTCATGTGTTGAGAGCTGCTTGGCATCTGGAGTGGCTGAACCCTTAGATGCAAAGTGGGGAGGAAACGGACATGGGGTTGTTGGTAAGGTAGTTTGGGCCGTATGGGAGGTCCTCAAAAGCCATGGTCAGGAGTCTAGTTTTTACAGGAAAGGGAACAAGGAGCCCTGAAAGCCCTTTTGAGTTGGGGGGTAATCTTGTTATAAGACATCATGGAGGGAATGTGGAGGATGGTATATGACATTGCATGAGTCTGGGGATAGCTCTTGAAGCAGTCGATATGTGGCCAAAGAATCTGAACTTGTTCAGTTGCAGTGGAGAAAGAATAGAAGAGGGGTCCATTGGTGAATTCTCCCAACCCCTCCCACCAAGACTGTTTTTTAGATTTTATTTATTTATTTTTAGAGAGGGGGGAAGGAGGAAGAGAAACATCACTGTGAGAGAGAAACGTTGATCAGCTCTTGCTTTTCCCCAGCTGGAGACCTGGCCCACAACCCCCAGGCATGTGCCCTGACTGGGAATCAAACCAGCAACCCTTTGGTTCGCAGGCCAGCACTCAATCCACTGAGCCACACCAGCCAGGGTTCACCAAGCCTTTTTAAATTTTAAAATCTTTCTAAGGAAGTCTTTAAAAAAAATACTTGAAAGGGAGAAGCTTATTCAGACCTTTGAACAGTTCTGAAAATTTATTACATTTCAGCCAGGAAGGAAAGTCTATCAGGCAAACTGGAATGGGTGTGGACTGATTACTCAGCACAGTCACTTAATCTTTCAGAATTAGGTAGGAGGGAAGCTATTTTAGTGGCCTTCAATCTTCTTCCAGAACTTTGTCCAAGATCTTCTCAAATGGTTGGTGAATTTTTCTGATTCATATCCAGCACCCCTACAGTTCAGTGTACATCTGCAAGCTGTAAGGAAGTCGATTTCATCCATTTCTTTTTTTTTTCATCTCTTGCCTTCCACCTGAAAAAACAAACACCAGTCTATAGGTTCTTGTTCTGTATTAGAAATTTGCACAGCGTGTAATCTAAGACGGATCCAGCTGAGTGTTACAGGTTTGGAGTTTAGACTAAAAAGAGGTATAATATTTTAATTTTTTCTTTATTTTGAGAAAAGCTTGGCAACTTGGACTGTTAGGAGAGTTATATAAAATATCTCCTGCTAACCCAGTATCTGCTATAAAGCACCACCTTATTTTCTTTAGACTACATTAAAACATTTTTACCCACAAATTAGAGCTTTTCTGTGGAGTATTTAGACTTAAAACATTTTGAACCTTGATAAACAAACAAACAAAAAACCCTTACAGAATTAACCTGCTTTTGGGATTGAGAAGTCTCCAGCTTATGAGGTTCCACATGGACGTTCCAAAGGCTTATAATTTATTGTTCTTGTGGCTCAAATATTCCAGAAAGTTCTTGGCATGTCTCCTGATGTACAAAGTGACCCATGGGCTCACTTCACTTATGTTCTTACTATATCACAATTCCACTTACTCTATGTTGGCTACAAAGCAGTGATTCCAGTGGTATATAGGACCAAAGGACGGACTCCAATGTAAATAACATGGTTTACTAATGTCAAATTCAGGCATTACTCTCCAAGTCCCATAGTGAATGTTTCAGTAGCAATTTGTTCCCTTTAGTTAAGAGCTTTTCAGTTCTATGTGGTACTTATGGTAAAGAAATAATTGAGAGTTAATGGTACTAAATTAACAGTGACTGACATATAGTTAGTTGTTAAGTTGTTCACATACCAAGGATTACAATTTCTTAATATTAGGAATTATTCTGTGAGACAACTATATTGATGTTGGAACTATATTAATGTAGTTGGTATGTTTTTTTCTATTTGTGGGCAAGCCTGTACTTGAAGATGTATACTTTATTCACAATAAGAGATTATATTGTAAAACTCAGTTACTTTTTGTTTATTTGTTCATTCACCTGAATGAGAACATTTTGACTGTATTGTGTGTGCCTATCCTTGTGCTCAGAGATGAATGGAAGTTACTCCTTGTCCGTAGAGAGAAGACATTTTAATGGGAGGCAGAAATAAACATGTATTTGTAACATAACATCTTAAGTGTTGAAGTAGACATTAAACGCTTGAATATGGATAATTTAAAATGTATACAAAAGTACAGAGTAGAAGAATGAACCTGCATGAATCCATCATCTAACTTCAACAGTTCTCAACTCTTGCTTGGGCTTGTTTCACCCATACTTTCCACTTAATTTCCTTTCTCCTTCTGTTTGAAAGCAAGTCTAAGACAGTGCATCATCTGAGGGACATTTTTGGGCATTCAAATCATCAGAGAATACACTGGGAAAATAAACCGTATGTGGGGACTTGGGGAGGAGCAACAGAGAAGCGATATTGGAATTAAATCTAGTGGGGAGGGAGGAGATTCCAGTTCCAGGTCAATGGGATGGAACCCAACAATTATTAACTATTGCTAAGCATTGTATTAGATTCACTTAGTATATTATTTAGTTTTTTCCCCTCACAGTAGTCTTATGAGGGAGAGAATATTTCTACTTTACATATGAAGAAATTAGGTTTCAGGCAGATTGAATTAACTTGCCAAAGTCGTAAAATTAAGTACTTTCTTCATTGAAAACCAATTGATGTTAAGGCTGTTTAGTTTCCCATCTTCTTCAGCATGTGCACTAGATACAGAGATATGAAAGGGCAAGATGTGTTTGGACAGTGGGAGAAACTGAAGGCAGCTACAGCACTGTGTGTGTGTGTGTGTGTGTGTTTATGTGTTCAGGGATTAAACTAGAAAAGCTGCTTAGGGCTAGGTTGTGAAGGAGCTTGAATGTCATACTAAGGAGGTAGGATTTTGTCCTGAGAGTGGTAGGGAACCAGGCTGAGATGTCTTTAGGCATGAAAACAGTATTGCTAAGTGAAGAAAGGGTACAAAATAGTATGTGTTATTGTATTTGTATAAAGTATTGAACAAACAACACGAAAAACACAGATGTGTAATACATATATGCATAGAACATTTCTAAAAGAATATATAGTGTTTTCCTCTGGGGCATAGAAAGTGGGGAGTGCCTTTTAGTTCTTCACATTCACTTACTATTATCTGAACTTTTGAATATTATTACTTTGAAATAACACTTAAGTCATTGAATGATTAATTTTTTTTTATTTTAAACCACTAATAGGATATATGTTAAAGATCTACAAATGAAAAACTGTAATATCTTGAAAATATCTGTGTGTAGAGTACTGTTTTGTTTCTCCAAAGTGAGCACTCAAGATGTGATTTTAATGCTTAGAAAATAATTTTGCCTGAGAACTTTAAAAAGAATCACTTTTAATTCTGACCAACTGGAATCATCCACAGGTAGTGGTAATGACTAATCTGTTCTCTTTTTGCACCACTGACTTCCTAGACTTTGTACATCAGAATCCACCCCGTGAAAAAGTCACTCTCTTTTGTAAGAAGAGTAACAGCCAGCCATCCTTTGTCACGTTTATTTTTATTGTTGAAAGAGGAGGAATAATGAGTAGGTAGAATTTAATGATCTGAATTGAGAACCTCCCTGTAAAGTGGAAGAAAAAGAAAACTGTACACATAGGTTCTTCATGGATTTTTGGTTAGCTCTGTGAAATCCTTGAGATTTCATAATATATCTTGTCTCATTTTCCTGTTATGAGATGGGTTTTTTCAGCATCATTTTTCTTGTCTGTTTTCAGATCACAGAACTGTGTGGTGCCAAGCGGGTTGGTTATTTTGGTCCAACTCAGTTTTATGTTGCCTTGAAATTAATTGCTGCAGCACAGTCTGGCCTCCCCGTGCGGATAGAGAGTATTAAATGTGGTGAGTAGCTCCCTGTTATACATTTTATTATCTGTGATGGGTTACTTATTTCTGAGAACCATTTTTAGCAGGCTTAAAGCCTGTTATGTAAGTATTTATGGAATTTTGTCTTACCTTTTCCAACTCTCCTGTAAATTAACATAAGAAAACTTAGCAGCTATCTTAGTTTCTTTTTTTTTTTTTTAAGTGGGGAAAATTTTCAGAGAGTGACCTGAGATTAGTTCCTTTTGACTGACTTGCCATAAAAATAGATTTTGTTCTTTAGCAGAAAGAGATTGGGATAGGAATTCTAGAGCCTGTGGCAAAAGAATAACATTTGGTTTAATTTTCCACTTCAGGAATCTATAATGTCATTTAAGGTTCTTTTCGGGACAAGGGAATAAGTAACTGGAAGAGTCTGGGTGGAACTATTCTCTTTTTCTTTCCTTTGTCTCTTCTGGTCATATCAGCTCTGATCATCCTTTAATTCCCCAATTGCTGAAGTACTATCTTGATGATTAGTAAGTATTTTGGGGGAACCAAAATTTGGGCAGAATATAATTATCTTCTCAAAGCTTTTTCTTAAGTTTCTTTCTTTCTTTCTTTCTTTCTTTCTTTCTTTATTTATTTATTTTTAGAGAGGGGAAGTGGGGAGGAGAAAGAGAGGGAAAGAAACATCAGTGTGCAGTTGCCTTTTCTGTGTCCCTGACTGGGGACCTGGCCTGCAACCCAGGCATGTGCCCTGACTGGGAATCCAATTGGCAACCCTTTGGTTTGTAGGCCAGCGCTCAATCCCCTGAGCCACACCAGCCAGGGCTCAAAGTTTTGATTTAATATTTTCTTATCTTGCCATCCTTGCCCCCAGCCCACCATATACTTGAGCAAATTTGAGCACAAACTTGAGCACTTTCCACAACTTGAACAAAACACAAAGCCCCAGACTCTTGGCATCATTTGTACTGCCTCAGTATTGGTTTTACCAATCTCTGTGCAGAAGGTGAACACTCAAGGGATGTGCTGAGGTCCCCCGTTAATTTACTTTGATACAAATAACTTTCATATGTCCACACAGCTATGCAGGCACTTTTTCCTTTTCCTCATATTGAGATAAAAACCACTCAGCTGTTCACACCAGTCCTGGTAGACTTGGAAGTGGGCTCAGGATTTATGGTTAGTCCATGGCAACTTTGTAGGACAACTCCAAATAGCTAATGAGATTCTGATAGCTTGGACTATGGGAAACAAAGCCCTTTTACCCTAACCATCAGGGGGCTGTGATCATTTTGCTAATCTTTATCGGAGGCTTAGTGTATGGCAGGCACTGTTTCAAGTAGTCTTCACAGGTCCTAAATTAGGTATTCGTGTCAGTTTTCATTGCCTAGGGTAAGCTGTGATAACAGACACTGCCAAAATCTCAGTGCCTTAACAAAACAAAGGTTCACTTACCACTTTGCAGTGGACCTCTAGGGCAGCTGCCTTCCATGTTGTGGCCCTGTGATCCTGGCTCCTTTGTCTTGTGGCACCTCCAAACACAGCACCTGTTTCCATAATCGCCATAACAGGGAACTAGTTTCTCACCCTAGCAGTTTCATGTGTTGGCCTGGATGTTACTCATGTATTACTGCTGCTCACAGTGCGTAGGCTAGAACTTGTCACATGATTTATTGAACTGCAGAGCTGACTGGAGGGGATGTAACTCTCTCATGTGCCTGCAAAAAGAAGCAGCTATGGGTGAACACTGGCAGTCTCTAATGTGGTACTATTATTATTCCTATCTTACAGATGTGGAAACCGAAGTTTAGGGCTGTTAAGTGCCGTGCCTTTCTGGACTATAAGATGCACCCCCGATTTGCAAGGGAAAGGGGGGTACGTGTTATAGTCCGAATGTAGTGTACCTGGCTCACTGTGGGGCGGGGAGGAGGGCAGCGGTGGAGCAGGGTCACAGGTTATTAAATATTTTACCGCACTTTTTGGCTTCAAAAATTTTTTCCTATTTTCCTCCTCTAAAACCCAGGTACGTCTTATGGTCCGGTGCGTCTTATAGTCCTAAAAATACAGTAACTTGCCTAAGGATGCAAGGTTAGTAGAGTTTGGAGCCAAGAGTTGAGCCTCCATTTCCGATGCTTTTCATTGCTTTTCAAAGTAGCCTCTTCTTGATTATTTTTTCTGTTTATAAAGTGCCTGAGTATAATCTGAATCATGGAATATTATCCAAATGGGGAAAAATTATGTCCCAAAAGGCATCCCTTGGTATTATATAACTTGGTTCCTTGAAACAGGTTTCTTTTTTAAAAATTTTAATTGTTGTTCAAGTACAGTTTTCTGCCCTTTACCCCCATCCCAGCCCACCCCCCAGCCCTCCCTGCCTCCTCCCGTCTCGACCCCTCAAAACAGGTTTCTTGATGGAGTATTATTTCAGTGGCACATTTGGTGGTTATTGCTACAAGACATAACAGTCACTACTGTTAGTCATTTGCTCTAATTAAACCTACATCACATTGCACTTGGGTGTGTGGTAGGCATTGATAGTTTCCATTACATTGTAAATGGTCATTAAAGTTTATTGTAGTATCTTCCAACTTCATCTTCTGGAAAAGTTAGAATTGCTTTGCTGCATACAAGAATAAACTTCTGACACTTTTGTTCCTTATTTTAACTTAGACCGAAGTCTTTTACCTGATTTGTGCCCAAATCTACAGTTCAGTTTCCCAGGGTGTGAGGGTTGTCTAGGTCAATTTCCCATGGGGGAAGGGTTCTCTAAGTTATCACTTGTGTATGGGATTAATACTTTTTCACAAATATAAAGTGTTCTCAATTGTATTTTATCCTGATGCCTTTTACCTCTGAGGGTTTAAATATACTCAGTCAATTCTGATTCTTTTCATTCATTTAAAGGTTTATTAAATACGTTATTTGCAGCCAGCAAAAGAGTAAGAAGGAGGGCAAGATCAGGCCAAACTTCGAGCTTCCATTTACAATTTTTCAGTTTGTTACTTGAAATCCATTAGCTTAATGTGTGATGACACAAACCATAAAGGCCAAAGAGAAGGCTCCGTGGTAACCTAATCTGAAAGGCTGCGGTAGCCCCATCACACTCAGGGAGCTGTGAGTCCATCCTTACTTCTGTGAGTCCCACACTTCCTACATGAATGGCATGTGCCTGGCCTCCTCTCTTCTCCATTCTCTTTCCCCACACAGCATTAACAGTGGTCTTTTCAAGGTACCCATCAGGTCATCCCTCCTCCTCCTTAAACCCTCTGGTGGTTTGCTGTTGTACATAGTTCCAAAGTCAATGTCCCTGCACTGATCTATAACCCTGCATAATGTAGTCTGCATACTTCTCCATTCTCATCTGAAACCTCTCTCCCATGCTTATAATCTGTTCCCCAGCCTCACTGACCTTCTATTAGTTTCTGAACCATCTCTTTCCTGCTGCAGGAAACACCATGTTATCTGGAGGCTTTGGGTTCCTAGTGGTTTGTTCTTCCCCCTTCTCCTTCCCATGGCTGCTTCCTTCTCATCCTTCAGGATTCAGAGATTGTACCCTCCCTCTTATCTAAAGCAGGTTCTGTCAAATTAATAGATTAGTGAAAAGAACCAGCATTTAGTAAAGCTGGTTCAAGAACGTATAAGTGAGTCAGAAGTATTTGCAGTCATAGAAAGAGAGAGTGCTGGAATAAGATTACTAAATTATATATAAAATTGATTAATGCCCTATAGGGCAATACAACTGAAACTTGATTATTATACTCTTTTTCTAAGAGGAATTACATTTGCATTGCTATTAGACAAGAATTGCTTGCTAACAGTTTTCTACAAGTTAATCTCTACCCTTCCAGAATTGTAAAATGCCTAATCAAGAGTAAATAGTAAGTCAAAACAAAAGTACAAATCTCTAGGGGGTTAGGTAATCGCTGGATGGACCTGTTAGGTAATGCTTCTGTGTAACAGTTTCCTCCCTAGTTTATTCTCTTTCAGCATCTGCTCCTTCATAGCACTTTTATCAGTTTGCAAATATTCCTTTACGAGTTTGACTTTTTTTGTACATCTTCCTCACTAGTCTAGAGCTTACTGAGGAGGAAAGGAGGAGGATCTGGTAATGCTGCACTGTGGGCCATTGTGGGCACTCGGCATAGTTGTCAAATGGATGAATGAATGAAGAGATGAATGCTTATGCATGGGGAGTGAGTCTTAATCATATGTCACTCTTCAAGTTCTGACTCACCTGGAGCTCCTGATGGATTCTTATAGAAGTCATGTTTCTCAGGCCCTGCCTGGTTCCCAACCTCGTCTGCACTTGATAATCACCTAGATCAGTGATCTTCAACTGGTATGCTGCAAGAATTTTTAAACCGTGCAATACCTGACTTTTTACTCAGGGACACTGACCTCTTTTCTCTTAGATTGTCCAAAAAATCCCAGCCCTGACTCATGTGGCTCAGTGGGTTGGGCATTGTCTCACAAACCAAAAGGTCTCTGGTTCGATTCCCTGTCAGGACATATACCTGGGTTACGGGCCAGGTCCCCAGTTGGGGCATGTGCAAGAGGCAACAAATCAATGTTTCTCTCACACATTGATGCTTCTCTCCTGCTCTTTCTCCCTCCCTTCTCCTCTCTCTTTTTTTATTAAATAAATAAATAAATAAATAAATAAAAGTCTTAAAAAAAATGACAACAGCCACCCTGGCTGGTGTGGCTCAGTGAACTGAGTGTTGGCCTGCAAACCGAAAGGTTGCGGGTTTGATTCCCAGTCATGGCACATGCCTGGGTTGTGGGCCAGGTCCCCAATTGGCGTGTGCGAGAGGCAACCACACATTTATGTTTTTCCCTTTCTTTCTCCCTCCCTTCCCCTTTCTAAAAATAAATAAATAAAAAGAAAATGACAACAGCCAACACAACAATAGCCATCCGGTGTTACTGAATCAAAATTATACCTATTTTTTGTCAGCTTTGCAAAAAATATATTTTTTGGTGTTCTGCAGAATTTTAGTAATTAGTTTATGTGTACCATGAGATGAAAAGGTTTGAAAATTGCTGACTTAGAGATCTTTAAATGCAAAATAAAAAAATAGAGGTACTTGGGCCACCCCCAGAAATTCTAATTTACTGTATTTAGTTTGGGGTATGGCCTGAATATCAGGAATTTTAAGAGCCTTCCAGGTGATTCTTAATGTGTAGCCAGTGTTGAGAGTGACTTCTAATGAAAGCCAAGTGGACCATTTTCAAGAGCTTTGCTTCAGCTATGAGTACATGTTTGGTTATACCAGGACCTGAACCTGGGGTATAGCAAGAGGTGCCTAGGGTGCATAATTTTAGGGGGTACTCACTCTCAGGGCCCTGCAAGTGTTGACTCTGCATTTACATGGCTCTGGGAGTTAGTACCTCCTTAAATATTGGCACTAGGCATCTTTAGCCTCATCTAGTCAGAGCTAGGTTAAATGACCAGGTTTATCTGTTGAACACCAGTAAAATACTGGTCAGAGAGCTTACAAATGCTGACCATTTACTTATTCCTCCCCCCCAAGTACTCAGAAGTAGAGTCATCCTCTCGTGGGCAGATCAGGGTAGAAATTACTCATGTGATCTTGTTCCATCTTTTCAGATCCTTTTGCAGACTGAGCTGAAACAAATACCTTTCTGAGAAGACACCACAGGATTAGCTTATATTTGATTTACTTTTCCCTTGCCTTTTTTCTTATGAAGTCCATTCCTGCCTCTTGAGTACTGGAAAGTTGCCGAGGTTGGGAAACACTAAAACACTAAAAATGGCAGCCATCCTCTCTTTAGGAGAGTCTTGGTTTACTTTTCCAGATTGGTTATTCTATTTCTGTCTCTTGGGCCCTTGGCTGATTGATCACTCAGGGATTTGTCATATTGCCTACCTCTTTGAATCAAATGTGGACATAGCAACTAAAAATAAACATGATGTGGATATTAGAGAACCAGGGACCTTCTTTGCCTGGGGAGCTAGGATACTTGCTTGCTGTTGTAAGATGTTTTCTGGCTTTAGCACAGCATCAATCATTGGAAGTGCAGCTGTGTTTTGGGACTAGAGAGCTCATGGAAGTGCAAAGGCACGCTGATGAGAATTATCCTGAATGATGGATACAGATGCAAATCATAATGCATGGTTCACAACATTATCCCCATTCTTGGAGTTCTTTGTATTATGTGATTTGCTGTGCTGAAAATTAAAGTGTGCCAAAGTATCATTTCTGTTTTCAGAATAATTTTGTCAGATTTAAAAGATAAGTAAATATACCAGACCGTTGCAGTTCAGTTCTTTGTAGTATTGTGAGTATGGCTAATGGTTTTGCCGGTAGGATCTGGTTGAACATTGGACTAATTGCTGTAACTTGATACCATTTTCCTTATTCCATTGTGAAAAGACAAGTGGAGATTGAATGTGAAAATTCCTTAAGGAATGACATAGGGTGAGAGACAGTTCTACCCAGGAAGTTAGCTGTAGGAAAGAAGGACCTTTTTGTAGGATAGTAGGACAGCAGCACTGGGCACTGGTTAAGAGCCAGCTCTGCCACAGATGAGCTCCGTGACCTTGGGGATGTTACTTAGCTCCTTTATGTCTATTGCCACATCTGTAAATGAAGGCTAATGAAAGTCTTACCTTGTTGACTTGTGAGGATTAAATGAGTTAATATTTGCAGATCTTAATACAGAGTCTGGCATATAATAAGTGCTATATAAATTTTGTTTGCTACCATTTGTCATTTATATAATACCACATCCTTTTTCTTGGTGCTGGACTAAAGGCTGACGTGGAGATAAGTCCAACCAAATCCTGAACTAGGTCTGTGAAGATCTGATGGCATTAAAAAATGTTAAGCCAGAATAATTTGATTAGGTCTGCGGAGATTTGATAGCATTGAAAAATGTTAATTCAGAATAATTTGGTAAAACTGCAGCGTTTTTCTATCTTGACATTATTATAGGAGTCCTTATTATGTCAAAATAAAAATTTTATCTATATTTAGTGTTCTGGAATTTTTCCTCAAAAGTGATTCATTGTTTGGCCAGTGAGTTCCCCTTTCTCTCAGTTCTAAAATAAAGTCTCACTTGAGCTTCTCTGATTTTGGTCCTAAAGAATTGCCGCTGCCTCGCTTTATGATATCAAAGACTGAAGGTGAGATACGATTTGGGAACTCGGCTGAGCTGCATGGAACCAAGGTTCAAATTCCATATGTAATCTCGGAAAAAAATACCTTCAAAAGAATGGATGATGAGGATAAACAGGTAAGCTGTCTGATCAGGCACATCCATTTGATTCTGACCATGAAACCTCACTTAGCAGTGCCTCATATCTGCTGTCAAGCTTCCAGCAAACCTCACCATCTGGGATGCAATTACAGACTTGGAAGTGAGCCAGTGAAGTTTCCTTGTAGCAAGAAATAGAGGCCGATGCATGGGCCCCTTATAGCCTATTTTAATGTAGAATTGTATCCAAAGTAAGGCCACTGATTTAGTATACTTACTTGATTTCTCTAATCACAATTTCCTAATGAGTTCTTTGAAATGTACCTTCTAGGAGTTTTTATTAGGTCCTCTTCTCCAAAAAAAAAAAGTCTGGAGGAAAGATTTTTCTGGTTAAATATATTTGGAGAATGTTGCTTCATATCCTATTCTTGGGGGAAGAGTAAATCCTCAGTCTTGGAGACTCATTGTGCACATTAACACATTAAATGCCCTGAGAAGTCCTACAGTAAAGGGACCTGGGGATCTGTATTTACTACACTTATTTTACCAGGGAATCTTTTCTTGAGGGAGTATGTTTGGAATGGTGTCTTGTGAATTCTGCCATTACACATTTAGCAAGTTAGGGACAAGAACAGGGAGGGTGGGCTTTTAAAATTAGACCACTAATTGTTAAAAGTCAGGTGGTGATTGGTAGGGACAACGATTTAAAATTCCAGAAGAGTGAGCCTATCAAGAAGAGGTAAATAGTCTTACACATTAGTAAACCCTGAGGTCATCAAGGTACAGCTCATAGTTTTAATAAAGATATTGAATCATGCAGACAAGTCAAATTATATTCGATATAACATCTTCTATAAGGCAAAGAAATGTTATATTTTAGGAAGATGAATCAAAATGTTTTTTCCAATGCAATGAAATTAAAGAATTAAGTTGAACTAATTTATATGGCTCATCCTGATAATGCTGGATATATGAGGTCTTGCTGAAGTTTTATATTTATAGTTTTATGCCCATTCCCTGGCTGTGTGACTAAGGATACATCCTTTTCAGGCTGGATTTATTTGCTAGGCCCAGCCAGTCTATGGGTGTGACCTCAAGTTCAAAGCAAATACTGTTTTCTTTTTCTTGAAGAAGAGTGTTAATCATGATCTGAGATCACATGTTTTAGACTAATAGCAACTATATAGTATGTTTGTTGATAAAAAGTACCATTTCTTCATACTTGGATACTCTGAAATTACTACTCTGTTGGTAGCATTAAAAAAATACAGAGGAGCAAACCCAGTAGCAGAGTACGGTTCCTTATCTTGTCCAGGATCCAACATCAGGTTTACATTTGAATTGAGATTCGAACTGAAATGTGTTTAAGGCTCCATCCTACTTACTGTGAGTGGGCTAGTGGAGTGGTTCATCCATAATGAACTATTTTGCCACCTCTCAATGTAAAAATGAAAAGCTGGGATTTTACTTGGCATATTAAGCTCTTAAGAATATTTAGCATTAAGCATTTTAAATATTTTTTAATGTCCACACTTACTGGAAGACTTAATGAGTATAAATCCAGGAAATAGGGGCCTTTATTAATTGATGAATTAATCTGTCCAGAAAGAGATCAAAATTGGGGAGTATGAATGTTATTTCATGTGGTCAGTGTCTCTTATTTTCCAAAGGAAAATATTATTGGAATAACTGAAAGTGTTCCAGGGTTGTTTTAATAATTTAGGTACCAGTGCACTGGTGCGATTTTATCCTCTGGGAGACTTTTGAATCCTCAGACACTGATTTTTAACCTACACAAATTTTTGAGAAATATTTCATCCATGTGTTAAATCAGCTGGTTCACCAATAGTAGAGTTGCACTGTAGTTCATAACTGCAGCTCAGAGTGCCAGGCTTCTCGAGTGATTGTCTCTGAACTCTGCTCTGGTTCTTTGAAGCAGGAAGCACAGTCTCCCACGATGTCACCTCTCGCCTCCCCTCCTTCTTCCCCGCCTCATTACCAGAGGGTGCCCTTGAGCCATGGCTACAGTAAACTGCGGAGCAGCACGGAGCAGATGCATCCAGGTAAGAGGCGATCTGTGGGCCAGCTGTCTCAGGCAGGGTCTTAGAGACGCCTTAATCTATCAGGCAGCAATGCTGCCAGCTGCTGAATCTCTGGACTTAATTACCTCTGTCTTTGGAAACACAGCTCAGTTTAATTTTATTCTTTCAAGCAAGGTTGAAAAAAATAAAATGAAAATAGTAATGCCTTGTTTTCCATCCTACAAACTGGTTCATCTTTAGACTTGTAAACAACGATTTAGGTGGTTTAATCCTTCATATACAGATTTCATAACAAAGAAAAGCCGTATATTAAGGGGTTGTATTGTTCATTATTTTCTGCAAACATACCAAACATATTTATAAAATAACTGTCTTTATGGAAATTAAAAATATAACAGCAAACGCAAAACAGTTGATCCAACTGTTAAAAACTGGTCCCATAAATGGAAATATTTAGCTCTTGTGTTTGGAAATAAGAATAAGGGACATGCTAGGGAAAGCATTTTGCTGAGGAGTGTGTCAAGTGCCAGTTGTGGGTTGGTTGCCTGCTTGGTCACATTCATGCTGTGCTGGCCATGTTAGTGGTTAAAATGTGTTAGTTGGTTCTGAGGATGACTTGCAGAGTTCACTGCCTAGGCTGCAGTGCTAAAACTCCATAAATTCACTGCAGCATCTTGTCCTCCTGGGGCTCAGGCTGCTAGTTTAAGATATGACCAATTAAAGGTATTCCAGAATTGGATATCCATAACCCCCCTTTTTCCTTTGTGGACTGTGGCTGAAAGTGACCCAGTTTCTGTAGGTTTTGCTGCATTGAAAATAGTGGTGACTTCTAGAGGGACACAGATATAAAACATGTGCTAGCCTAGACAAGAGAGAGGCTGTAATCTTGCAGAGAGAAGCAGATATGGCATAATGGAAAAATCTTTTGATTGGAATCAGAAGGTGTGTGTTTATGTGACTAGCTACTAGCTATGTGACTTCCGGCAAGCCATTCAGCTGCTCTGAACCATGATTGCCTCTCTTTTAATAGTATCTTATAGAGATGTTGTGAGGGTTAGTGATAATATGAGTGTGAAATCTGATTGGAAATTAAGGCCTTTGCAAATGCAAGATGATATTGTAACAAGAAATTACTCTCTTAAAACTGATGTCTGCAACCAAATGGGGCTGAGAAGTCATTGTCCTCTTATAGTCCCTCCTGCTTGATTTCCTTGATTTTTGGAAGTTGTTTTTTTTTTAATTCCTAATCTTATTTGGGCTTGAAAGTTGGAGTTCTGTGCCTAGCATGGTGTCTATTTTTTGGTTTTTAATTCACAGATGAGTCATTTTTGTTCTATTGAGTCAGTATTCACCAAGTTCTACTTTCTCTTTTTGATATGCCTTAAACAAGTTGTTTATACTACCTCTATTGCATTCCCCATTCTCTCCTCATCCCATTCAAATTGGACTTCTGTTCCCCCAGTGGCAAGGAAACAGCCTGTTTCTCTCCATCGTTCTTAACTCTTAGCAGTGTCTGTCAAGGTTGTTCGTGCGTTTATGCCTTCTTATCTCTCCTTTAAAAAAAGTAAGGTCAAATTTACAAATAATAAAATACACCCATTTGAAATCTACAATTTGAATTTTAACAAATGGATATACCCATGTAGACACTATTTTGATCAAGAGTAGAACATTTCCATCACCCCAGAGATGCCCCTTTCTAATCACCCCCTGCTCCCCCATATAAGCACTGTTCTGACTTTTACCACTGTAGATTAGTTTTGCCCCTTCTAGAACTTCATATAAATGGAATCATATTGAATGACTGCTCTTATTTGTCTGCTTTCTTTCTCTCAGCATAGTAGTTGAGATTCGTCTATGTTGTTGTGTGTTTCAGGAGTTTGTTCCTCTTTGTTACTCAGTAGTGATCCATTGTATGAATGAATCACAGTTTGATTAGCCATTCTTCTATTGATGGGCATTTGGGTTATTTTCAGTGTTTGATTGTTATGAACAAGGATGCTGTGAACACTTGTGTGTGAGGATTTTTGTGATATAAGGTTATAATTTCCCTGGTACCTAGGAGTGGAATTGTTGAACTTAGGGTAGGTGTATGAGAAAGTGCCAAATAGTTTTCCAAGGGAACTGTATACTCCCACCAGCAATGTATGAGAGTTTATGCTCCTTGAGAGCATTTGGTATTCTCAGTGGCTTCTTTTTCCTCAGTGTTTCCAAGTTTAGCCATTCTGTTAGATGTGAGGTGATAATCTCTTTGTGGTCACTCTTTCATTCTGAAACATTGTCGTCTAAGTTTCTGTTACTCCTTCCTGATTTTTCTGATTCATCATGATCCTTAGACTGATGAGCTACTCTTCCAGAGGGTTCTCCTTTGTACAGCATACCCATAGAGAGGAGTCTGAGTGAACAGTCGCCTGTTTCTCAAGGAGCTGAGTTTCCTGGGTCTGGCCATGGATTAGGAGGCTGTTAGGTCCCTGTAGCTGGGAATAAGGACATTCATAAATAAAATGTTTACAGCTATTTCCATTTAAACTTCTTCATCTGCTTAAATCAAAGGAAGGGAGAGTTTTTCTGTATACAACTTGGGTCTATCTTAAGATTTTTGCTTCTAATTGATACTATTCACACCAAACTTTGTCAGTTCCTGTTTATGTAATATCTGTGGATTTCCCCACAAAGGATTGTCTTTATTTTGCTTCCTTTTCTGTCATGTATCTTTAGGTGAAGAGGTAAGAGGAGACCACATGTCTTCCTTCTCTCTCTCTCCCTATATTTTCAGAACTCAGTTTCTCTTCAGGCTTCCATGTATTCCCCCCAATTTGTTTCTTAATTCACCTCTGTTGCCAGGATTCTCTTTTCTCTTTCTGTACTCCATCTTCTCTTTATTCTAGATGGATCCTTCCCTTGAATGTTATGAAGTGTCCTTCTGTATCTCTTTTTATGGCACTTGTTTTGAAGTCTATTTTGTATGATATGAGTATTGCTATCTTGGCTTTTTTTTTCCTGTCCATTTGTTTGGAATATTTTTTTCTAGCCCTTCACTTTCAGTCTGTGTAGGTCTTTCATCCTGAGGTGGGTCTCTTGTAGGCAGCATATGTGCGGGTCGTGATTTCTTATCCATGCATCTACTCTGTGTCTTTTGATTGGAGCATTTAATCCATTTACATTTAAGATTATTATTGATAAGGACTTATTCATTGGCATTTTACCCCATTTGTACCTGTGTTCCTCTCTCTCTTTTTCTTCCTCTTCTTAAAGCAGTCCTTTTAGCATATCTTGCAATGCTGGCTTGGGGGAGGTATGTTCTTACAGCCTTCTTTGTCTGGGAATCTCCTTATTTCCCCTTCTATTTTAATTGAGAGCCTTGCTGGAATGAGTAGTCTCGGTTGCACGCCTTTGCTTTTCATTACTTGGAATATTTCTTTCCTCTTGGCTCTTGTTGATAGTTTCTATGTCCTGTTTCATGCTGATATAGTTTGCAGTGAGTTCATCATAGTTTCCTTGTAGTTTTTGGTAATTCTCACTGAGCTCATTGAGCTTCCTTATAACCATTGCTCAATCTCTGATAGTTGACTTGCCTCTCTTTCATTTAGCATTCCTTCTGAGGCTTCCTCCTTTCCTTTTGATTGGGTGCTGTTTCTTTCTCTTCCCATTGTTTGTGAGACTCTTGTTGTTTGCTTCTGCTTCTTAAATTGATCTTTTTGACTCTCTGAGTTCATGGTGTGAACTTCTATGGTAGGAGACCTGTGAGATTCAGTGGTGCAGTCTCCTTGATCTCCTGAACTTGATGCTCTTGGGATGCCCTTTATGCTGTGTATGTTGGCTCTCTGGATGTAATTGGGTTTTGATTGTTGTTGGGTCATTCTTGGGTGGGTCCTGCCCACCACCTGGTTCACTGAGGGTCATTCCACCTACCACGCCTTGTATACTGTTGTGCAGGTGCAGTCAGATTGTGCTGAAGCTGACTCTTTTGTCTGTCCAAGGTTATATGTCTTCTCTCTTGCTGTTGTTCAGTCGTTTGTTCTGGGTGATTTCACCACAATTTAGTTGTAATTTTGTATTTGTCCTGGGAGGAGGTTAGTGTGGTTTCCATTCACTCCTCTGCCATCCTGTGCCATTCTGTTCCCTTTGGTATAGACAGTAACATATCTAAAACCTGTTAAACCTTAGCATTCTGGTACTAAGCATTCTAGACTTATTTTTAGTTTCTACCTTTTCAGAAAGGAGTTTTGTTACTTGGATAATTTTCTTGTAACACATTTTTCTGGGGTTATTTCCATGTTCAATATTCTGCCATAATTCCTGGCTGGTGGGGCATGTGTTGAGTATGTTTTAGATCAGACTGAGCACCATCAGACTGGTTTATAGTTGAGCCTCTCTTCAGCTTCTCTCCCAGGCTCCTGCTAGTCTCATCTGCTGGATGTAGCTCTAGCTAATGTTCATTGCAAATGACTTATGTGCCAGGCATTGTGCTGAGATCTTTATGTCCATTATTTTCTTCTCAACTGTACTCCTCAGAGGCAGACAATGCTATCCATATTTTTAAAAAGATTTTTATTTATTTATTTATGTATGTATTTATTTATTTATTTATGTATTTATTTATTTGAGAGGGGAAGGGAGGGAGAAAGAGAGAGAGTAACATCAATGTGTGGTTGCTTCTCATGTGGTCCCCACTGGGGACCTGGCCTGCAACCCAGGCATGTGCCCTGACTGGGAATTGAACCTGTGATGCTTTGGTTCGCAGCCTGCACTCAATCCACTGAGCTATGCCAGCCAGGCTATCCATCTTTTTTAAAGATTGTATTTATTTATTTTTAGAGAGGGAAGGGAGGGAGATAGAAAGAGAGAGAAACATCAATGTGCGGTTGCTGGGGGTTATGGCCTACAACCCAGGCATGTACCCTGGCTGGGAATCGAACCTGTGACACTTTGGTTCGCAGCCCGTGCTCAATCCACTGAGCTACGCCAGCCAGGACGTTATCCATATTTTTAAAAAAGAATGTTTAAACCACAGAAATACATGTGTGTAGTTAGATAATACTTAGATGCCTATAGTAAACACAACTGTTCGTCTCACTGAACCTGTTTCTGGTCTCCAGAGGCAACTACTTTCAGCTCTCTTCCTTGGTTCTTCTGATATCTAATGTCTTATTTCAAAATCACTATGTCTGTTCTCCTATTTCTTATACATTTTATTCCAGTGTATCAATTCTAGGTGTCTACTCACTTAAGAGCATGGGTCATGATGTTCATCTCCTGGCCCTAAAGACAGAGTTGGTGGGCCTACATTTCTCATTTCTGTCCATTTCTAACCTGTGTGACTATGGGTATTTCACTTTTCTGGGCCTCAGTTTCCTTAATCTCTAAAATGGAATAATCTCTGCCTCAGAGGTTTGCTTTGTGGATCAAATGAAAAAAATGTAAATATCTGTGCCTACCACAGTTCCTGGCACATTGTAGGTGCTCAAATGTTCTCTACTATTTTCTTTTGTGTTTTTGTAATCTAGAATTCATTTTATTTGTGCAAGTCTTAAGTATTCTTGAAAGTCACCTTCTGGCTGTCATTCACTGGGTTGACTGCAGATATAGAGTCTTTATTGTGAAGTTACTCATGTCACACTGTGTTAGTTTGACATTGAATCTCACAGTGATGAAATCTTCAGGGTTTGTTTTGTATTGCTATTCTTGGAGAAAGATGGTACTTCTAGTTCCTTATTAAACCTCTTGTAAAGGGAATCTAAGAATTAATTTTTTTTTTGCACTGAGTTGCATGTCTTGTGTTTTATTTGGGAGGAAGGTGACTAGAAGCAGTAAGTAACACCTACCTTGTTACCTCCTGAGTTCAGATCCAGTTGCAGAATGAGACCAACGATTGCCTGAATATCAGCTGTGTTACCAATAAAGCTGATTAGAGCACGTCTTAGATTTGTGATTGCATGAGCTTCAGATATTCACCTTTCCAGTCACAGGCAGGCGTAGCCAACCCAGGCTTCCCACAGGAGCAGAAAGAAAAATCTGCCCTTGAGACCAGACCTCTCCAAAAATGATGGCCCACGTGGCCAAGTCTTTGTTCAAGCATTACCGATGAGATAGGTCTGCCATTTCCGAGGAACGAAAGCCTTTGTAGGTGAGGGACTACAGCCATAGGCCTAATGGCTTCCCCCACACCTTTCCCTTCTAGCCAGTAGAAGCTCCCTTATTCTGAGGGGAACCAGAGGCATGTGGGATCAGGGAAAGCTTATGCCCCCTAGTATCCCAACCATGGTACAGTTTACTGTCATTCAAACCTTCCAGCATTGAGTTTAACTTGGTGTTTTATCAAAGTGAAATGATCTTAAAAGTCTTTCTCTGAAGACAATACCTGCCCTCCAGCTGAGATTTATTTTTAAGTTTTGGATTATGTGTTCTCTGTATATATTTCTTTCCCATTTTTATATTTTTAATCATTTTAGCAGAGTCTGAAAATCCACTAAATGATTTGCCAGGCAGTGATTTTGTTACTTTAATGTGTTATAATCTTGTGTTTCAGTTTCTTGGATGAAATACAATAAGCAGATGTGAGCCCAGGAGTTGTTTGTTATTCTTGATATGCTATTGTTATATACTTTCTTGGTTTTCAGAAGATCACACAGTGTTAAAGGTGATGCACTAACAAGGCTGCCCTGCTCTCTCTACCTAATTTTATTTATAAGGAAGCTATAGAAAGAAGGCATTTTACTTCTTTACATACTTCCAAAAGCTCAAACTGTTATCCCACACAGATCAGAAATGGTGTCATCTTGGGTGATAATTTCTCCTTTCTCTTGGAGCTGAGTACTACGTGGTTATGTTTAACTGTTTTTGTGCCCTACTGGCAAGGTCATTAAATGTTCCGGAAATAAAAGGAATAAAAAAAAATTGTTCATTTTTATGGCTTAAAACTTTTTCTTAAAGGTAACAGTTATTTTTAGTTTGGTTATCAAAAGATAAAATAATACATATAAAATACATTTATTGCTTTCTGTATTTTTCTCTGTTTGGTTTTACATACTTTCCAAAGAGGAAAAGAAGACAGTGCCATTTAGTTTTCAAAAATAAAACAAAATAAACAATAATGTTGAGTCTTACTGTTCAAAATGCATATTCATTTTCTTTTTGTGGGGGTGGGCAATGAATTGAAGACTTTTAAACAGGAGGGTATATATAGAATGTACCTTATGTTAAGAATTTGAACACTTAGGACATGGTACTTTTCTAACTACTATCATTGTTTTCTATCACAATTTAGATTCTCACCATTTCACCCTTACGATTTATTCCTAATCCTAATCTGATGTAAAGATTTTCCTGCTTTATCACAAATTGGTTGGATATCTTTAGATTGTTCAGTTAAATTTGTACCCAGGGGTACCAAGGTTTGTTTGTCCTAGGCGGCTCTATGCACATAAACTCTAATTCCTTTGCTAATTCTGCCCTTAAAAGCACACACTGTATCAGTTGGAATGTGAAGTCATAATTTTTGGATGGAATCTTTGTGTCTCATACTGACTTTCCCTCCTGTTTCAGCTCCTTATGAAGCTAGGCAGCCCCTTGTCCAGCCCGAGGGATCCTCATCAGGGAACCAAGGAGCCAAGCCCCCTCGGCATCAGGCTTCCCTCATCCGGGTAAGTGATGTTAGGGGGTTATACTAATGGGAGACTTTCGGGGACCTGGCTTTTTGATGGGCCCTCTTTTTTTTTTCCAAGGAAGATAGAAAATTGCCCTTTTCATGCAAATATTACACTTCTGTTTTTTTGTTTGTTTTCTTAAATCTTCTTACTTTGTATGTTTCTCGCTGTCTGTAGACTACCTCAGGCTGGTTCTTAGGCTTTGGTGTATCTAAAATGCCCTTGCACCTTTATCTACTTAATTGTTAGGTACCTTCTTCAGGAGAGCTTTACTTTTTCCAAAATAGCATATCATACCTCTGCCTTATTTATTCTTTATTATCGCTCATCCAGTGCATAGTTAGCCCTTGCCTGTTTGTTTGGTGTTTCCAATTGCATTGCAATCTTTTGGAAGGCAGACATAGTTTTTCTGTATTCTCCCTTAGTGCCTAGTTCAATGCTGTTTGGAGAACAATTATTTTACAAGTGGCAGCAGCTACTTTTTCCCCATATGTTATGGATACAAAAGAAACACTGTGGCAGAGGCACAAGTGATATTTCAGTTTTTCCTGGCTACACCATTGCTTAGAACATTTCAGCTTCCATTTCTACATTATTTTCCTTTGGATAAAGAAGTCTTATTTTTTTTTCCCCCTGTATTTGCCACTGTTTTCTTGTGTAGTATCTCTGAGTCCTGTGCTGGGGAAGTCATGTTCCCAACAAAAAAAGTGTGTGTGTGTGTGCATGTGTGTCTGCATGAGAGAAGTTATGGAAAAACTTGGTTCACTGTTTGACCCTAAAGACAAGAGGAAGTGGGGTGGTTTGTATAACACTTCAACAGTCCAAATTGCGGAGAGGATCACTTATGTGCAGGCAGTTCTACTCAAAATAGCAGGGTGGTGTCAGATAACTCCCATAAGGAAATGGGCTGGTGTCTGGATCAGAATAGACAAAGGCTAAGGAAGATCATGGTGTTTACTGAATATCACTGGGAATGGGTACTATGGTATGCATGGTACAGAACTTTTATCTTCTAAGGTAGTGGTACTTTGTGTCCAAAGAACTTTCTTAAAGAATAATTTAACCATATGTTCAGTGTTTATATTTAATGCTTCTTGCCAGCTATAGTATTTAGGTACTGTTATATCTGTTAGTATAGATGAGTTAACTGGCTGAGAGAGGTTAAGGTCTAAGGTTTTATTTGTAACTCCTAAGTGGCAGAACCAGAATTTGAACCCAGGCCTGCCCAATGTCAAAACTTGCATTTTAAAATATTTGGGTATGCATTAGAGTCCCATGTTACAAGGAGGCTAGGTTCTAAAGTTGCTGCATAAACAAACATTGACAGTAGTAAAAAAAATATTCCTGAAAATCCTGTATTGGCACCACACTGCAGAGCCAAGATGCCATTCTCTCCTAGGCCCCATAGAGCTCAATTTTACTCCTGAGTTAGAACAGATAGCTGTTTCTTCAGATAAGTCCCAGATGTAGCAGTTGGCTGCATTTAAAGGTCCTGGGGTACAAAAATAGGTGTCTTTAAACACAAGAATCACACCCATGGTGGAGTGATGGTTACATTAGGAAAGCTATCGGAGGGACTGGGGTTTATCTAAAAAATTCTCAGGGTGTGGCTGTGCTTGTTTATGCAGAGTATATTCTAGTGCCATGGAAGCCACATTCTGAATGGTTAGAATGGTGGTCAAACAGGCAGTAAATCGTGAACTTTGCAATGGTCGCATGGGGCTTACTGGTCCTTTTTACCTGACACCCTAGGTGGGATGGCCATGGGCTCTCACTTGGATTGGTGTCCTGTGACTTCTCTTCAAATCTCTAGGTATATTTTTTTGCTGATAAACATGCTTCTTGGGTATTTCACTCACCTGATGTTTACTAAACATGTATTACATACTAGGTACTGTGTTGAGAATACAAACGTGAGGTATAATACTCCCATTCCCTGCCCTCATGAAGCTTATAGACTATTGAGGGATATAACCATTAATCAGACCATCACAGTGTGATGTGAATGGAAATTACAGTGTGCTTTGATGGTTAAAAATGGTGGGAGGGGAGATGGTTCTGACCTAGCCTTGGCAGGCAGGGAGTGACATTTGAGTTGAAATGAGGATTCATAGGTGTTAACCAGGTGAAGGAGTGGGATTGGAGGAGATAGGCAAGAAGGTAGAGGGAACTTCACACAAAGATATTTTCTTTGTGCTTAGCATTTTATACACATCATCTCGTTCACTTCTCACAGCTATTTTGTGAGGTAATTTCTGTTGTTATCCTATTTTTCAGATGTTAAAACCTGAGGTTTGAAAGACCTTATTTAATTTGTCCAAGGTTACAGCTAGGAAGTGGTAGGAGTGGAGTTCAAACATTGGACACGATTCCTTATTCTCTGGCTCAGGAACCATATGGGAGATGATGTCATCTGTTAAGCTAAGCAGCCCTGGATGAGAAACTGGTGTTGGGAGTATTGGGGAAAGATTGTAAGTTCAGCGTTGGATGTTAGAATTTGAGCTTTAGATATAGCTAAGAGGAAGTGTCAGAGATGGTAGGATATATGAGTCTGGAGTTTTGGGGAGAGCCAGGCTGGACTTAAGTATTTGGCAGTGATTAGAAGGACTTAAGGTATACTGCAGAGAAAATCAGACAGGTGCTCATCCAGGTCCAACCAAACTCTCTGTGACCTTGGGGCAAGTTGTTGTCTTTTCTGTAATATGAATGACTTGGAATGGATTTCACAGTTCATTGTAATAATCTGCAACAGTCTGATTCCCTTAATGTTTATTTGGCATCAGTGAAGTTCCCCCCCTCCTGTTTGGAGCATTGCCTTCTGTTTCAGATGAGAGCAAGGGGCCTTATTTTGGGACAGCAGTATGTGGTTTTCATGGCTGATATGTTTTTCTTTCTTTAGTTCTTAGGTTTCCTTCTTATGTCTGTCAGGTTGGCTTGGCTGAACTCCACGTCCCAGAAAGCAAAATGCCAACCTGAATTAGTCATGTAGGTGAGGGGATCTGAAGTGAAGGCTCTTGGTGGAAGGGGATTAATATGGATTCAGCATGGTGCTAGACCAGACCAGGCTAACTAATTCCCCTCATGTTGCCATGTTAATGTGCTGATGGCAGCCTTGCTATCTCGTAGCTTCTTCTGTGGCCTTGTATTCAAGCCCTTCCTGTCTGATTGGGAGGAGGTGGCCTCTGGGTCCCGGCTAGGCTTTTAAGGACTCTGGGCCAGCTTTGTTGCAGTTCACAGGCTTGGCATTTTAGAGGTACTTATGCCAAAATCAAGACTCAAATTTTGGGTCTTTTTGGTTAATATTGTAGGAATTTCAATTTTTTTTTGTTAAGATGGTAGATGGTGGACAGTGGTTCGCAAATAAAATGGTATGTCTCCTGCTTCATCTATTATCATGAGTTTGTAGGTCGTTTTATAGTTTACTTTTTACAAGTTATTCTAACTATCTAGATTATGTAGGCATTATGTAGGTATTTTGCTGGGATAAGATTTAGAAATGCCCCTGCCACTCCCACTGTACTACACTGCCTCTGTTTTTGCCACTGTTGCCAGAAACTACCTAGTGTTAAGTCTTTGTCTTATTAACCCCTTGCCAGCTTTTGACACTGATTCATCATTTGGTGTCCATGATGTCATCCTATCCTGATCTTTCTCTCATTTCTATGACTATCTGTTCTTGATCTCTTTTAGTTCTTCTTCTTCCACCTGCGTCATACATGTTGGTGAGTCCTAGATCTAATTCTCACTCTATTACTCCTTAGCTATGTGGAGGCTGATGACCACATATATTTTTCTGCTAGTCATCTTCACTCAAGAGTCCCACTGTCACTTTAAACGTCTTTCCCAGAAAACTAGCTTTCATTCTTGCGCTCCTGGCTCCATCCACTCATTGGCACATGCCACAATGCTGGTCACTATCTCTGAGTCCTGTCTCATTCAGTTACCAAGTCTTGGCCATTTTACTTTCTAAATATCTCTTACCTGCCCATTCTTCCTCAGTTAAGGCCATCTTCTGTCACCAAATCTGTTACATCAGCCTTTCTTTCTTCTTGCTTCCACTGTTGCCTTATTTAAATCCATTATCCTCACTGCAGATGAAAATAATCTGAAAAATACAAATAGATTCCTCCTACTCCCTTGATTGAAACCTGTCACACAAGACCCACTGCTCTCAAAACATCATCCACCTTCCCTAACACGGTTCTGGGGCCTGGTGCGTGGCCCCTGCTGCTGTTCTCTTCAGTCACAACAGCCTACTGCTTCTCTCCCTCTGTCCTCTGGCCATGCAGAGATGCTGGCCATGTCCCATATGGTCCATGTTCTGTGTGGGAACCTTACTCTTCATCCTTGCTTTGCCTTCTTTGTTTCTCCTTTGTCTCAGTTCATCTATGTGTTTTTCCCATTGATAACACAAAATGCAAACATTTTCTAATATTTCTTATATATGTGAAGTTTCCACTTTTTCATTCTTTTTAAAAAAAAAATTGTTGAAGTACGGTTGTCTCCATTTCCCCGCCATAATTTTCCCCACCCCACCCACCTCCCACCTTCATTCCTAAGCCCCTTCAGCTTTGACCATGGGTCCGTAATACATGTTCCTTCACAACACTTCCCCTGTTTTTCTCCATTATCCCCTCCCCACCCTGGGTTACTGTCAGTTTGCCCTTTATTTCCATGTCTCTGGTTGTATTTTGCTTCTTGTTTGTTTTGTTGATTAGGTTCCACTTACAGGTGAGATCATACGGTATTTGTCTGCCTGGCTTATTCCACTTAGCATAATGCCCTCCAGTTGCATCCATGCTGTCACAAAGGGTAGGAGCTCCTTCTCCTTTCTGCTGCATAGAATTGCATTGTGTAAATGTACCACAGTTTTTTGATCCACTCATTTACTGATGGGCGCTTAGTTTGTTTCCAGCACTTGGCTATTGTAAATTGTGCTGCTAAACTTTTTAAGAACACTGTGGCTGTAACATACAGAGATTTTTTTTTTCATTTATTTGTATGTAGCTGTCCAGATCTGCCAACACCATTTGTTGAAGAGGCTATTTTCACTCCATTTTATGCTTCTGCCCCCTTTGTTGAATATTAATTCACCATAGAGACATGGGTTTGTTTCTGGGCTCTCTGTTCTGTTTCACTGATCTATGTGTCTGTTCTTATGCCAGTACCAGACTGTTTTAATTACAGTAGCCTTCTAATATAGTTTGATGTCAGGTATTGTGATCCCTCCTACTTTGTTCTTGTTTCTCAAAATTGCTGAGGCTCTTTGGGGTTCTTTATGGTTCCACATAAATGTTTGAAATGGTTGTTCTGCATCTGTGAAATATGTCATTGGTATATTTATAAGGATTGTGTTGACTCTATAAATTACCTTGGGTAGTATGGACATTCTGACGATGTTAATTCTTCTCATCCATGAACATCGTATATGCTTTCATTTATTTGTGTCTTCCTTAATTTCTTTCTTCAGTGTTGTGTAGTTTTCTGAGTACAGGTCTTTTACCTCCTTGGTTAGGTTTATTCCTAGGTACTTTATTTTTCTTGTTGCTATAGCAAATGGGATTAAAAAAAGAGATTTATTTATTTATTTTTAGAGAGAGGGGAAGGGAGGGAGGAAGGGAGGGAGAGAAACATCAGTGTGTGGTTGCCTCTCATTTGCTCCCTGCAGGGGACCTGGCCCACAACCCAGGCATGTGCCCTGGCTGGGAATCAACCAGTGACCCTTTGGTTCACAGGCCCACACTCAGTCCTCTGAGCCACACCATTCAGTGCACACATGGGATTTTAAAAAATATGGAATGCTTCACAAATTTGCATTTCATCCTTGCGCAGGGGCCATGCTAACCTCTGTATCATTCCAATTTTAGTATATGTGGTGCCAAAGCGAGCACCCATTTTTTCATTCTTAAAAATGGTTCATTCCTCATCTCATTTATATGAGAAACTCATCTAGAGGGAGGGGCATCCAATCTTTATGGGTTTCCCATCCCAGAGGCATTTGGTGTTATCTGTTTCTTTTGTATTGTTCCAGGAATGCTTTATGTACATATAAGCAAATATACTATCCTTATAGAATCCTAATATATGCAGTATATTTTTACTTGACTTTAGGGAGACAGGTGTGGCAAATGAGATCCTTCCAGCCAGATCTCACTAGGAAAAAAAACACTATTTTTCAACCAAAACACGCTTGCTTTTAAAACCCTACACATATATGTACTGTGAGGTTTTCTTCTCTTTTTTGGAGTGACAAACTTAACAATCTTTTGGGATAAATTTTCAATACTCACTGTTCTTTTTGTTTCAAAGACAAAATAATGACAAACAATATTTAGAGAACTTTACCACCCTGCCATTCTAGTGGGGGGTTTGGGCTATGTTTTCTGTGGAAGTTTTTCTTTTTTTTTTTTTTTAAGATTGTATTTATTTATTTTTAGACAGAAGTGGAGGGAGAGGGAAAGAGAGGGAGAGAAACATCAGTGTGTGGTTGCCTCTCACGTGGCCTCCACTGGGGACCTGGCCTGCAACCCAGGCATGTGCCCTAGACTGGGGATTGAACTGGCGACCCTTTGGTTTGCAGCCCATGCTCAGTCCACTGAGCTACACCAGCCAGGGCATGGAAGTTTTCTAATAAACAGATAGGGGATGGTTTTTAGACATTGGTAGTCAGACACCATATTAATCCAGAAGCCTATAACTTTAAAAACATTTATATAACTTGGTTGTCTCCTTTCCCCCCTCATTCTTCTTTTTTTTCTTTAAGTTTGGTTGTTAATAGCTGTGAGTCTGTTGTCATTTACTGTTCATATTTTTATCTTTCTTCTTAAATAAGTTCCTTTAATATTTCATATAATAAGGTCTGGATGATGATAAACTCCTTTAATGACCTTATCTGGCAAGCACTTTTATCTGCCCTTCCATTCTAAATGATAGTTTTGCTGGATAGAGTCATCTTGGATGTAGGTCCTTGCCTATTATGACTTCAAATACTTCTTTCCAGCCCCTTCTTGCCTGCAAGGTCTCTTTTGAGAAATCAGCTGATAGTCTCATGGGAACTCCCTTGTAGGTGTCTCCTTTTCTCTTGCTGCTTTTAAGAGTCTCTCATTATCTTTCATCTTGGCTGATGTAATTATGATGTGCCTTGGTGTGTGCTTCCTTGGGTCCAACTTCTTTGGGACTCTCTGAGCTTCCTGGACTTCCTGGAAGTCTCTTTCCTTTGCCAGGTTGGGGAAGTTCTCCTTTATTTTTTCAAAGAAATTTTCAATTTCTTGCTCTTCCTCTTCTCCTTCTGGCACCTTTATGATTTGGATGTTGGAATGTTTAAAGATGTCCTGGAGGTTCCTAAGCCTGTCTTCATTTTTCTGAATTCTTGTTTCTTCATTCTGTTCTGGTTGAATGTTTCTTCCTTCCTTTTGCTCCAAACCATTGATTTGAGTCCTGATTTCCTTCCCTTCACTGTTGATTCCCTGTACATTTTCCTTTATTTTACTTTTCATAGCTTTTATTTTTTCCTCTAATTTGTGACCATATTCAACCAATTCTGTGAGCATCCTGATTACCAGTGTTTTGAACTGTGCATCTGATAGGTTGGCTATCTCTTGGTCGCTTAGTTGTATTTTTTTCTGCAGTTTTGATCTGTTCTTTCATTTGGGCTATTTTTTTTGTCTCTGTGCTCCCCCTCATTCTTGTTCAGTCTGAATTTCTTGCCATGGCTCTTAGCCTGCTACAGACTTAACCATAGGTACTTAGGGCCAGAAGTAGATTCCCTCTGTTCCTTGAATCCTTTTGGAATGGTTCTATTGAGTTAGCCAAAAAGTCCATTATGTTTTTTCTGTAAAATGAAAGACACATTTTTTAAAAAATACATAATCTTTATTATATTTTTCCATTACCAGTTAGTCCTCTTATACTCCCCTCCTCCCAGCAAATACCACCCTGCTGTCCATGTCCATGAATCCTTTTTCTTTTTTGCTCAGTCTCTGTATTCCCTAACCTCCCCTCTCTTTTCACCAATAACTTCATTGATTTGGATATTTTGAGTAGGTTGGCTATATCCCACTATTGGCTTCTAGTGGGTAGAGGCCAGTGGTCCTGCTAAATATCTTCCAATGCATAAGACAGTCCCACAGCAAAGAATTATTTGGGCAAAATGTCAGTAGTACCAAGAAACTTCCCAAACCACTTTTGACACAGTTGATTAGTCACAGCACCTTCTCCATACACTGCACAAATCTTTTTGCATTTCAGGTGCGTTTTTTTACCTTTCTTGAAAGAATAAAGCATAATATGCCAAAAGTGTTGTGTATCTTCTTCCGTCTTTTGACAAGTTTTTTTTAAATGCATGGTGATATGACAGCTGTCACAATACAATCGAACAAAATTGTTTTGAATGAAATTAAAGACAACTGAGCACTAGTAGAGCCATCGAATGGAAAAAAAAAAACAGAATAAACACCAAAGTATGTATGTAAAGGATGGTGAGAGAAGGAATACCCCGAGGCTCTGTTGGAGTGGTGTAAACATAAGTCCAGAGAGAACTGACAGTTGTCACAGGTAAATTATTCATCCTAAGAGTTTTAATGGGAACAGGAAAAGTATTGGGTTGGCCAAATTTTGTTATAGCATTATAACATTATACTGCATTGTTATAGCAGTAGTTCCCAGAAATGGAATAATTAAGTGAAATGTCTACACATTTTTAATTTTTAAAAAAGATTTTATTTATATATTTTTAGAGAGGGGGGAAGGTTGGGAGAAAGGGAGAGAAACATCAATCAGTTGCGTCTCACATGCACCCCAACCAGCTACCAAACCTACACCCAGGCATGTGCCCTGACTGGGAATTGTGAACTGGCGACCTTTTGCCTTGTGGGACAACACACAACCTACTGAGCCACACCAGCTAGGGCTACACATTTTTAATTGTTGATAGAGATTTTAGAATTGGAGACTGTATCGATTTACACACTTGCCAACAATGTATGAAAATCTTTATTTTCCCATATCCATGCAAATACAATGTGGTAAAAAAATCTCATGGTTCTTTGAGATCCAATAGGTGAAAAATGATATCTCAGTGTAGTTTTAATTAGTTTTATTTATTATTAATGAAGTGGGATATCTTAAATTTATGAGTCATTTGTATTTCCTTTTTTGTGAATTGCTTCTTCATATCCTATACCTTTTTTTTATTCTTTTGGGTTATCAGTGTTTCCTTATTGGTTTGTCATTTCGACCAGTCTGAAACCAGAAGCTGGTGTCTCTGTTCCTTTGGACAAGTGAGAGATTGCAGTGTATGTGGAAAACTGCTGTTTGCATGGTGGAGAGGGGGTCCTGGGCACCTGAGGCCCTGGAAGCCGAGTAGGGACCCAGCTTCTTTTCAGTTCTGGAGTGTCCCAGGCTGCCTGCAATGGGGACTTCCTGTTTATACCTTCATGACAGTAAAGTTGCATTACTTTATGGAGCTAGGAAAATCTTCTGTTGTTAGGGATAGTAAATGTCTACACAGTGTGTCTGTGCATTGACCTGTCATCATTGCTTGGACAGCTCAGTTTTCTTCCTCTGAGTGAAATAGGAGGAAGAAAGGGAGGGGGAGGAACAGGGAGGGAGAAAGTATACGTGTGTTTGCCTTTGTGTGTAACAGGAAGAACTGGTTTGATCAATTTTTTTAGGAATGCAAGTTCCTTGTTTTTTATGTGACATCTTGTTTTACTAGATTCATTCCCCATTTGATGTTAAACCCTCACTGGAGTTTTACCATCTCCTAGGAGGTAAAAGATTGCTGTGTCCTCACTGTGTTCATTGCCAGCTCTACCTAGGACTGACAGATATCTGAATGGTCACTATTACCACAAACAAGTTTTATTTTTCATAGCAGCAAGCCCCCTTCCTACTCACCTACTTATAGTTATTTTTCAGATTTTGTATTTCTTATTTTTGAAACATTTAACTTCACTTGATACTGAAATTAACTTTTCTCAGCCTAAACCTTTTTTTTTTTAGCTCTTATTGTATTCCTCAGGTGCTTATCATGTACCCATACTTCTTAACAATTAAAGTGATGTTAATTGCTTGTGTTATTTATTTATTTATTTACTTACTTACTGGGACGCACTTCTATGTGAAAGACAAAAATGTTTTGTGCTGCAAGATGAGAATGGCAAAAGATACTGGATCACTGAAAGACAGGTGACTCCAGAATATAAGAATAGGATGCCTGGGATAGAAATTGAAAGATGTTCTTGGGAAAAAAAGACATTGCCTCAGTAAATATTAGGACTGATTTTGTGTCTTAAGGCCGTGCAAAATCCATGCTTAAGTTCAGGGGTCTCCAACCTCCAGGGCCGTGGACTGATACCAGTCAGTGGCCTTTTGGGAACCAGGCTGCACAGCAGGAGGTGAGCACCAGGCTGGTGAATGAGGGAGCAAAGCTTCACCTGTATTTACAGCCATTCCCTGTAGCTGGCATTACCACCTAAGCTCTGCCTCCTGTCAGATCAGTGACATTTGATTCTCATAGGAGCACAAACCCTGCAGTGAACTGCGCATGCAAGGACCACTGCTTTAAGGAGTGGAGTGGGAGGAGGGTCAAAATGGTAGGCTGGTCCACATTAGAAGTCTAGCATCCCTGCAACAGGTTGGTTAGACTATTGATGAAAGCAAATAAACACACCTTATTTGTGGGTCAGTGTTGCTTTTCCCTATAAGGCATGAGCATTGCATTAAAGGCTTATGGTGTCCAGAATTTCCCTGGTAATAGCTATGGCCCACATCAGTTTGGTAAATTTAGCCTCTCAGATGTAGCTGAAGACACCCGATTGAAGTCTTGATCTCAGACAGTACTTTTTAAAGCTGGAAAGGAGAGTGTTGTTTGTTTCCAGCATATCCCCTA